GCGGATTTCAACGACTGCGGTTTTGCAGATTTCATAATCCTCTTTCGACTCACTTCAGGTTTGCATTTCTGCAATGAATGGGCATTTATCGAGAGAACAACCGAGCTTCCTGCAAAAAACTGATAATCTTATGCGCTGAAAGTCCATGCAGTTCTACAATGCAACACCTTCATCCCAGCCGACACCCTTTCCCTCGTCATACAAGAAGAGATCGAAATACAGTCAGTACGAGTCCAAATACTAAACTACAGAGTAGGGACCATTCCTGCTGTTAATGATTTTCAAGTTTAAAGCAAAAAAGCGTGGTCGCATCAAAAAGTTTAGCGCGTTCCAACCTGTGTTTTACTGATTGAGCAACCTGATAAAAAATTGCGCAAGTGCAAAAAAGCATAATATTGAGAGCATGTCCTCCGCATGCAGGAAAAGACCAAAACATACATACGTGAGTTGCGCCTGTTAAACTGTAAAGCAACAACCATTCATGCTGTTAATGATCTGGCTACGTCAGATATGGTGCAAAAACACATGGTCGCACAGGCAAGCCTGTGGCTTTGTTACCTAGGTTTCATTAAAAGGTGGCTCGCGAGCTTAAGTAAATATGTAAATCAGGCCCGCGTGTTGCCAAGGGTTGCCCATGCCTGGTTTGCGATGTTTCATAGGACAGTAACAATAACGATAATAACAATAATAATAGTGGAGGAATAATAATATTAATATCACAAATAATATGAAGGTAGTCAAAAATGGATTTTGGTGGTGCGTGTATTTGGTGAATCAGAGAAATTTCATGCTGGGCTGATAGAATAGGTAACTTACCAAGAACGGTGGCAGGAGATGATACAGTAAGAGAATCACTGGAGTCACTGAAGGTACAGTGAAAAAGGCGTGAAGCCGACGTGGTCCGGCCTAGGAATATGAACACAGAAGACGAGCGTGCGGGTTTCGAATCACTAGATAGTTTGCTTTTTACGTAGCAAATCCTGCAAGAAATTTCTTAAATTGCTCTCTCTGAAAAGTGCTTTCAGCATGACTTTTAAAACACCCCGGTGAGGGAGAGAATGAAGCTTGTCTCCTACACTGCCACCTCATCTAGTTCTTCAAATTGCAAATTATGCTTAAATCTGAAACCTAGACAGATAGGAAAGATAAAGGATAGTTGTAAATTTCGGGTTTTTTACGCATATTGAAGGTAAGGGTACGCAGTATGGCTTAATTGCTGATTTCAGGTTTCAGGTTTTTATGCGTTTTTACCGCAACACGCAGTAGAAACGCATAATCTGGCGACCCTGTCTGTGTGAGTATGCGTGTATCTGTTTGTGCGTGTGTGTGAAGACGTGTGTTCGTCTGTCGAAGTATTTCTACTCGACAACCACGTAAGCTTTGATGCTAAAATTTTGCCAGTCTGTTCCCTCGCCAAATGCGGCCCTGGGAACGTGAAAGCAACTGTTAAGCAAGTCTCCGCCTCACGTTCGGATACATGAAAGTTTTGGCGAAAAAACTGCTAATTCGGGAAAGGGAAAAACTAGAAAACCGGAATTGTAAGGAAATGCTCTCTATTCATGTACGACTAAAAGATTTCATATTCAACTCCTTAGAACCGTACGTGTACGGCCACATGAGAATTCTGGTGAAAAAATTGCTAACTTGTGAACGAGAAAAGCTGAAATTTTAAGAGAATGTTCTCATCTTATGGGCAATAAATTTGTGATTTAGCTCTTTTAGTGAGGTCTTTTTCGTGCACCAGTAACTTTCCTTTTGTCGGGTCGCTGAACCCAACATCTACAACTGATATACATAACTGCACAATTAACTTCCCCAAATTCGAGAACTAGCGCCACTATATCACAAGTTCTAGCTATTGTGATTCGTTGCGATCTTGTTACAGCACGAAATTGTGCAAAAACACATGATCGCACCAGCCCGCCTGATGCATTCCAGTCTTTGTTCATCTTGCACGTACTGTTGTAACCTCCATCTTTTTTAGTTTTTGAGTTACGAAATTTATCCGAAACTGAAGCCGAAGTTACAGGGTAGAACAGCAGGTGGTCTGAATGGTGGTTTAAGCTTCAGAGCTTCATGCACAGTCGAGAATTCTGGCTATAAGATTTCAATTTCCTAGCTTTTTTAATTCCGAAATTAAAATGTGTAGTCAGGCACAAACATAACGCATTCATACACACATGCATACATT